TTGTTTTGTCTTTGTTTCTGGTAGATCAGCAAGTTCCTGCAAGAAGGAATGGACATGTGATTCCAGAAAAGCCAGCAGGTGGCAGTATTGGGCAGTAGTACTGGTTTTTTTCCCCCTTCCTCATTGCCTGGCAGACAGATTGGCTCGTTCTCAGAATAAACCAAAATCAGACCCAAATACTAAAACCATGCAGAATCTTATTATTTGTGATGGATGCCGTTAGCAATGTGTTCAGAGTGATGTTTTAACCGAGCTAGGGGGAGCTTGCCAAGTCCTATTGAAACTACCCAACCCTCGCTGCCTCGTGCTGTCTGATGCTTTCCTTTTGCAACCTGAGATTGGTAGGAAACAAAGAACGATTGGGGTTGCATCAGATCTGGGACTTTCAAACCAAATTACAACCATCCCCAGCAATGTATTTTCTGTCTTGCAGCTCTTTCCTACCCAATTGGTCTCAGGTGGCACACATCTCTTTTCCCCCATCATTGTTCCATCTTGCAATAAAAAGAAGCAAAATAAAAACCCCAGGTCTTAAAAATGGGATTCATTCTTTTGATCTAGAGATAAACCTCGGTTAACTGTAGTATTTATGCAGACATGATGCAGGCTAAATCAGTCCTGCTCTATAGAACCAAGCCTGGAGGGGTCTGTAGGGCTCTTGTGGAGCAGATAAGTCAATCATCTCATTAATTTAATCTCACGAGTCATTTAAATTTATCCTTTTAGACCACACTTGAAAAGGAATGATGATATGTGCATGTTTTTTTTACTAGTTTTTCTAGACTTATGTCTTGAGGTTTGCTGATTTCCTCATTTTAGCTAAAACAGGTTAGCCAAATAGTTTTGGCTAAAATGGGGAAGTATTAAAATTGGTCCTTGTTTAGCACGAAGCAATTTTCCCCAAGATTGCATTAATGTACAAACAACTCCAAACCTGAGGGTTTTTAATAATGAATAGTAGTTATGCACATTTTTTGTTCGTTTTACCTAGAGTGTGAGAAATTAAAGCAAATTGGAAAAATTGAGTTTGAAGAAAATAGGTAGTTGATTTAATGGTAAATATTTGTTGACTTCATTTATCAGGTTAGATCCGGTAGTAAAAGAATCATCCAGATGGTCCTTTAATGTTCCTTTCAATACTAAGATTTCATGAAACATCTTCTAAAGAGGAGTAGGTGGTGTAGGAAGAAAATTAATGTGCTATTTTAGCTTCTAGGGAGGAGAGAGGGAGGCAGTTATTTTTAGAATATGTTCCAGTTACACCCAGTTTTAGGAGAAATAGAGGAGTGTATTTTAATGTCAGTGATTCCTTCAGGGTGATGAAGTCTATGGAAACACAGCTTTCAAATTTTTGTCTCTGTGATTCCAAAGAGCAGACTTTTAGTTGGAGCGTGTGCGTATGTGTGTGTCTTACCACACAAATGGGGGTTTGGGTGGAAAGCATGAATATATCAGCAAAGTGTCTTGGATAAAATGTAACTAGACTTTAGTCCACTATTTATGTGAAAGTGCTGCCAAATTTAGCATTCCTTATGCTGGGGGAGCTAAGGAGGGAAAATAGTTGAAACACCGGAAAAGATGAAAGCAATTACTTAAATTAGGCGGGGGGGGGGGGGGGGGCATTGAATCACTATTAATGTAATAGCATGTGATAACAGGGCAAGCCAACAGGAGTGTTTCCCCAAAATTAAAGGCAAAAATGAACTCTGCCGTAGCAGAAAGTCTTACCGTTGCCCACTCTGCCTCGGTTTTTGAAGAAGGATTACGTAATTTTATAATTAGATTTTCTTGTGATGTAAACCAAGATACTGCGCATACAGTGCAGAATAGACCTGCCTGTCTGAGCCTCAGAGGACTCTGCCGTGGCCTCTGTGTACCAGAGCATCCCCCCACCCCACCCCTGTCCCCAGGATCACATCCCTGCTGTAAGTCTGCCAAGAACCATTCATACCCCAGTCCATGTACACAGCATGCAAGCAGGGGGTGGTCAGTGGGCGGGAAGGGGGGGTGTCATAAAAATTGCCTTTCATCCAGCCTTGAAGTATTTACACAAATATTGATTCTGGATGTGAAAGGATGGTTTCTGAGCTAGAGCTCAGAATATATAAAAAGCAGTAATAATTGGGTGTGGACTTCACATACCAATTTATATGATAATTTGATGAAATACATATCTATCATAATATCAACTTGATATTTATTTAAATGTGCAAAAATGAACAAATCCACCCACAAACGCCTTTGTGGGCAGGATTTTGGTTCTGTTTATGCATAGTTGGGAGGTTAAACAGACAGAACTTCTGCCAGCTGGATGCTCGCTTTCTCTCCTCTCTCACTTCTGTTTGACAGCCCTTCCTGGTGGCTGCCCAGGCCCCTCCTTCCCTCCTCCCTCCAGCCTTCCCTGTGAGGCTCCCAGAACATTCAGTCCTTCTGGTCATGGGACTTCACTAACCTTCACTACATGTGGGGTCCTGCTTACTTACCTGAGTGAGCCATTATTAGCCATTATTTTCCTCTGTGAATCGTGAGCACACTTCTCATGCTATAGCAGAGAGAAGATGGTGGGAGATCCTTTGGAAACCCAGGCATGTTTAATTGCATGACTTTATTTGCCCACTTACTAGACATCTCTTAAGCTCCCTCTAACCTGGCCCAGTGTAGGTGTTGAGAGGGTAGCAGTGCTCTCAGTCACGGAGTTCCGGGCTGTGGGAAGGATCTAGATGGCCTGCTGAGCCCCCCTCACACACCCTCTAATTTAATCCTCACAACAGGCCTTGAAGAAAGCTGACTGGTACAGTTTAAGTAAAGTCTTTGACGGTAGTCCTCATGCTTTGACCCTTGTGTAGTGTTGTGTGTTTTTTTTAAAAGGTCTCACATGTTTATTACTGACCCAGCCTACTAGTGCAGAAAAATGCCAACAGAGAGAAAAACCATTCTTCCGATAATTTCCCAATAAAAACACCCAGTTGCCCGACAGTAGTGACCTAGCTGTTCAGGGACGTGGTGAGCCGTGGGCATCCTGGGTGCAGCTGGGTGTGAGGGCCTCTCCCGGGCGACTCCTTACGGGCCCAGCCTGGTTCCTCTCGGGTGTCTCCTCTTGGAGTTGTGCCTGGTTGTATTACCGGCCTCCATCCAAATCGAACGGGGAATGGGCCGGTTCTGCCTTGTTTTCTTGGCCAGGAGCCTCTTGCTCCTGCAAGTCTTGCGAAAAGACAAGCAGAAGAGTCCACCACACGTGCCCCGACTGCCGAGCCTTGTGCAGCTTTGATGCTGTTGCTCACTCACTCCCTTGCTGGAGTTTCCCTGCACCTTCTGAACTGCCATGTGCCCCCCGCCCCAACACACACTCTTTCCCAGTCCCCTCCCCAACCCCCATGCTCCTCAGCCCTCCCACTGCCTTTCCCCTTTCCCAGTTCATTCCCAGTATGTTGGTTTCTCCCAGCTCCTGTACTTTTTTCCTCTTTACTTTTTAACCAAAACCCTGTTCCTGTTCTGTAGCTTCAACTCAGGCTCTTTTTTTGCTTCCTGTTTCCCATGGGTGTTTGTTTAGCTTCGTATCCCCCACGTGTGGCCCGCGGAGGAAAGCCATTGCTGGTAAATGCTGGGGTACTGAATTCTCTCTCCCTTTGCACAAGGAGCTGGCCAAAGCCACTGAGCCACCAGGAATCACTGAGGGGCCCTGGCCCTCGGTCTGCCGGGGGCACCCTCACCGTCAGCCCGGACACCATTTCTTTCTCTTCTCGACTTACCATCCAACCGCATGCTCCCTCCCTCTGCCCCACTAGCAGATTGCTGCCGGGCTATTTTAGCTAGCATCCAGTTTCTTTTCCTAACTAAACTCCTGTTTTCTGAGGTATCGGAGCCCTTGCTTCTGTCAATAGAATGTCACAAAGCTCTGTCTTGAGGATGATGCACATCTGTCAGTAGGCGTGTTGGTCCATTTTTAATTTTCTTGGGGACGCCTCCTTAGGCGGCAAGTAATAGCATAGGCTTTGGAGGAAGAGAATTGAATTGGGATCCAGACTCCAGCCAGGTCAATAGGGGCAGGTTACCCCATTTCTCCGCATCTGGACAGTGAGGTTACTGCTCTGGTCCTGAGGACGAGATGAGACTCTCTAGGTGAAGTGCTTCGCGCACTCGCTGACCTTGAGGATGAACGTCCACTGTTACTGTGCGCGCGCGTGTCACTGTTGTGGATCAGTGGGAAGAGGACGTCAGACCGGAGGACAGGAGCTTTTATATCTCTGATGAGGAAGACAGGAGGTTGACGCCTGTCTGCAGGGAACAGAGGACACTGTCCTTCACGTCACCTCTCTCTCCGAGCTGTAAAAGAAACCATTGATTGGAGACTTTGGGGTTAAAATCATTGACTGGGACCAAGTATTATACTTGGCCTCGTCAGCCTTTCTATCGTATTTTCCACATGGCAGCTCAGACAGCCCATACAAAACCTACATTTTCCGTAAGCTGTGTTATTAATTTACTACAGTTGGTTTTATTCTTCTCATGTTTGCCTGGTTGTGTCTGTTTGCCATCCCCTGCTTCCTGCTTCTGGCCCGCAGATGGTCTGGCCGGCCACGGTCTCATGCCTGTGTCCTCTCCAGAAATGCTCTTTAGGGGACCAAAAAGCAAGATGCTCTTCTCTCTCTCTCTCTCTCTCTCTCTCTCTCTCTTTATTTTTTTAAACATATTTTATTGATTTTTTACAGAGAGGAAGAGAGAGGGATAGAGAGTTAGAAACATCGATGAGAGAGAATCATCGATCAGCTGACTCTTGCACACCCCCTACCTGGGATGTTCCCACAACCAAGGTACATGCCCTTGATCAGAATCGAACCCGGGACCTTTCAGTCTGCAGGCTGACGCTCTGTCCACTGAGCCAAACCAGTTTCGGCTCCTCTTGTCTCTTTGAAGCACATCCAGACCCTGAGGGAGCGATGCGAGGAAAGGCTTTGACGCATTCCTGTGCAGTCCAACACTAACTTCGTTTTCTCCCCCAGGACCTGCAGATAGAACGAGAGAGGAGCTCCTATAACATATCTGGTGGCTGCACAGCCCTCATTGTCATCTGCCTCCTTGGGAAGCTGTATGTGGCAAATGCTGGGGACAGCAGGTAAGCAGACTAAACTCCGGTTCTTACTCATGTCTGTTGCCTTTTGGTAATTTTTATCTTTGAGGAAAAAAAATGATGAGAAAAGAGATAATTCCACTTGGAATTAGGTATTGATAAAGAGAAGTCTTCTCCATCTGAATACAAATGCATTTAAGAAGAATCATCAGGCTGGTACTGAAATGTAAACGCATCTTGTCCATAATAGCAGTTCACATATATACCTTAATGTAAACCGGTAGTATCCACACGGATTTTGACTTCATAACCTGGTTTTTAATAAAAGCTTAGCAGAGGTATCATATATGAGAGTGACAAGGAGGAAGGAAAGGAATTGAGTGAAATGGGTGTTTGGAGGGGACACGGGAGGACTCCCCAGCTGGTTCCACTGCTCAGTGACTGTCCCCTCCCAGAAGCCCATTAGTTTTTCCTTTTATGTGCATGCCCTTAGTGGCTGCCTTCTCCTCTCTTTCAGGTTCTACTGAAAGTCCAGGGGGTTATGGTTAACGATTATCTATCCAGCATTATGAGGAGTGAGATCAACTTGTGTTTCACTTTTATTTTAAACTAGAGGCCTTGTGCACGGATTTGTGCACTGTTGGGATCCCTTGGGTTGGGCCTGCAGACATCTCCAGAGGGGTCCCAGACTGCAAGAGGGCACAGGCCAGGCTGAGGGACCCCACCAGTGTACGATTGGGGCCAGGGCGGGACTGCAGGAGGGCTCCAGGGTGTGTCCAGCCCATCTCACCCCAGCTGCAAGCTAACCTACCCATCAGAGCGTCTGCCCCCTGGTGGTCAGTGCTCATCATAACTACCGGCTGAACAGTTTAATAAAGTTGACTGGTCGTTTAGGCTTTTATTTATAGATAACTGATGTGTCTACACGTTAGGTGTGGATAATTTTTAAGTTATAGACTGTGAAAAGTGTTCTAATATTTATTGCATAATACTCTGCCCATTTAGTAACAAGGGGTGTTGGCCTCATAGCAGGGCTTTTGCTAAGGACTGACTCTTTATTCTGAAAGGAGTCAAAGTGCTGGACTCCAACCACATTGTCCTCAGAGGAGCGACTTCCTACACAGGCCAAGACCTTAGGATGCTCCCATTCCTGTCCCTCCCTCTCCTACCTGTGTGCTCTGCCCCTGCTTGAGACATTTTCCCCCTCGCCTTCCTCCACCCCTCCCCTGTCTCCATCAGGTTGTGGCTGCTGCTCTGTGGCCTAGAAGACCAGCTCCCTCAGGCAACCAGGAAATTCTCCTTAACTTTACAGTCATACGTTGCTTCACAACAGGAAGATATTCTGAGAGATGTGTTGTTGGGTGACTTCGTGTTGTGTGAACATCTCAGAGTGCACCAGCACACACCTGGATGGTATAGCCTGCTGCACACAAGGCTGTAGCAGGCGTCTTCAAACTACAGCCCGCGGGCCACATGCGGCCCGCAGAGGAGTCTGATCCGGCCCGCCAGGTTTTTTGGGCAGTGAGCGCAGCCGAGGTGTTACAGTAGGAATTAGTAGTTCATAAAGTCCGGCCCTCCAGCTCTCTGAGGGACCGTGATCTGGCCCCCACTTTAAAAAGTTTGAGGACCCCTGCATACAGTATGAGCGTATAGACCACCGCACACCTGTGTTCGGTCGGTCATTGACCGAAATGAAATGCCGTCGTGTGACTCCTGATGGTACTTCCCACTTACAATGCAGATGGAGTCTGAGGGAGCCTCCATTCCCCCAGGTAGAGCATCCGTTCCCAGTTTTGCTGCTGAAGATCGTGGAGGCCAAAGGAGAGGGAACTGCCAGGGCAGCAGTATTTAGGGTTGGAAGCCGGTGTTTTTGAAGGTGTGTTTGTGTTTAAAGCGTATGTGGATTTCCGCTCTACTGTGTAAGGTATCTCAGCTTCAACATAAAGTTTTGTACACGCTGCCATGTTTATGCCACGGTCTCCATTCCCTGGTGTCGCTTCAGGGTCCAGGCAAAAGAGAGACTCCAGTTTAGAGGCAGGGCCCATGGTATGGAGACGTGAAAGGGAGACAGCCAGGAGCGGGGAGGCCCAAGAAGGCATTTATCTCCCTCCCCCAACCCCCTTCCCGCCGGGCCTGCAGGGTCCAGGGAGCAAATGCTCCCGCAGAGCCAGGGGGCTGGGGCCACAGGCGAGGGCCCTGGGCAGGGGCTGTAGGAGAGAATGGGAAGAAGTACTCTGCTGTCTCTCTCCCCATCCCCATCCCTTGCCAGGCTTCCCATTGGATGAGCACAGGTGACAAGGGGCCCAGGAATGCAGGTCACAGAGGCCAGTGAGCCGGGGCACAGGCCCAGGCAGAGACTGTGTCCCCGGGGTGGGGGCGGCCGAGGATAACCAGCACTCCCGCCGCTCCTTTTCCCTTAAAGACAGGAACTCTCCGTCTCAGGGGCCGGTAAGACACACACTGAGGACCCAGCTTCTGGGCCTCTTGTTCTGTCCGGATCTTGAGCTTTTGGGGAGGCAGGTGAGCAGATAAGAGGTGATGCCCTCCTGTTCTTAGTAGCGCTGAATCGGTGGTTCACATGCACCTTCTGTCATACGTCGGGTGCCGTGGCCTTTGACATGAGTTTGCTTTCCCAGCCCTTTCAGGGACTGAGGTGGTGCAGGGCCCTGCTTCCTGGGGAGAGGCCCACCCCTCATCCCGGATGGCCCCAGTCCCAGAAGGGCACTCAACTCCGCCACAGAATATCCTTATGTTTGGTTATTCTTTTTAGAGACACCGCCTCTCCTTAACACCTTTTTCTCCTTTTGGAACGTGATTTTCTTCAAAGCTCTAAGCTCTTTAATTGAGCCCCCCCCCCAGCCAGGCCTCTGATCCTCGACCCCAGTCCAGCACCTGCCAATCCTGAGCATTCATCTTCTGCACTCTTGCCTTTATTAAAAAATATATTTTATTAAATTTTACAGAGAGTAAGGGAGAAGGATAGAGTGTTAGAAACATTGATGAGAGAGAAACATTGATCAGCTGCCTCCTGTAAACCTTCTACTGGGTATGTGCCCACAACCAAGATACATGCCCTTGACTGGAATCGAACCCGGGACCTTTCAGTCCGCAGGCTGACACTCTATCCACTGAGCCAAACCAGTTAGGGTCTCTTGTCATTTTTTATTTATTGTTTTTATTTTTTAATACATTTTATTGATTTTCTTTTGCCCCCCTCCCTCCTATACATATCCTCTCTCCCCACAGTTTTATGTTTATTGGTTGTACTTATATGCATGTATACAAGTCCTTCATTTTTTAAACAAGTGTCAGTTTCTAAATCAGATCTTGACTCCCTCATCTATAGGAAAAGGTGGTAGGCATTGTACTAAATCTCTAAAATTCCTGGCATTCTCATGATTATCCTATGAGAAGTGACATTTTGGGACAGTAAAGTGGTCTCTCAAGGTGGTTCTTTGGGTTATTTTAACTTCCTTAGAGTCACTTTTTGAAGTTTTAGTAAATGAGGCTCCCGTGTTCCAAAGGGTCTGCAAAAGCATTCTCTTTTACATGTTACTTCCAGTGATTGTATCCTTATTAAAGCTGTAAAGCACCCAAAGGAAAAATCACCCTGTGGCAAAACAGCATCTCCAAAACCTAATGAGCTTAATTATATTGATCGTCTCCTGGCCCCAGTGTCCGGATATGAATTTGGGGTTTTATGGCTGGTCGGTTGGGTTTGCTGTCCTGCGGGAGCCTCGGAGAACTGTGAGCTGGCCTTTGTATGCGCCACCCAAAGGGTAACTCAGAGGACACTTACTCATTAGGGCGCTATTTTCAGCTCTTGTATGAACAATAGATATTTCATAGCCTCTTATATGGAATCATTGTCCAGTTTACATGCCAATACTACGTTGGAAGTATTTGAGTTTACAAAGATATTCAATTAATCCCAAGAAACAGCAGTCTCATAGCTTTGGGCCCATGTAAACGTAGGTCCGTTGTCACTAGTGGATAAATAACCCTGAATTGCAAACAAATGAGTAGAGCTGACAGAAGATTCTGCACCAGGGCTCTCATGAAGGAAGCGCTGGTTTTTGTTCTTGATTGCCAGGTCCTGCCTGCTGCGTGTTTGCTGTAAGTCCTGACAGCTTTGAGAGGGAAAGCAAACCTTTGTCCTAGGCCCGCTACCCCGTGATGACGCACTCAGGAAAAGAGCTGTGTGCACTGGTTTGATTCGGAAGGTACATGTGGTCGGGAGCTGTTTTCTAAGCCACTTAGCTGTGGCTCATCTGCTGAACCAGCAGGTGCATTCGTGCTGGGGCTTGTGTTCAGGCGAAGCCTGGCGATGTTTGTGGTCACTGGTGCTCGCCTCAGCGACCACCCTGGGGTAAGATGGCCCACAGCGGTGCCTGGGGACTGGTCCGCAGCCTGGGATGGACTTCTCCTTCTCCCCACAGCTAAGATAACCAGCCTGAGGCGCATGCCCTAACTACTTTGTGCACACCAATCACTTCATTTCTTCCCAGGCAGAGGCAGCCAACTCTGCACCTCGGGGACCCTGAGGACCCAGCAAAGAACCAGATGGTGGGCAGGTTTCCACTTCCAGCACAAAGGAACTGGTGGGATGCAAATGTCAGGCAAAGCAGTATGCAAACGATCACCCATTGTGTTCCAGTCATCCCCTCTTGGGGCTCCGGTGATTCTTCCTTCTTCCATTTAAGAAGATGCGTTGACTCCATTTTACACAACAATTCAATCGTGTTTCCAGAGCCATGGCACTGAGGCGGCAAAGTCGTTAGGCCTTATTCCAACCAGTGTCTCAAGGTGTAGCAACTGGGACTAGGGGAACTCAGCCACATTCAAGAAGCCATCTAATATTTGTTAAGCTCAGGGTCTTGCCCTTGCCAGATTCATAGTAACAGCAGGAATAAGACATCTATTCGATAATAGGTGTTGGGCTCATGGTAAGAACTGTAACAGAATCATGTTTAATTCTCCCAGCAAATGGAGTGAGAAGCAGGCAGCGTTAATATTCGATGCAGATTGCGGCTTGAAAGATGAGA